ATCTGACCTCCCACGGAGCGAATGAGACGCAAGCATGACTGAACAAAGGAAAATACTGATTCATATGCCACAATACATAGACGTAAACATTCTCTTTTCTTTAACTTTAAACTGAAAAATAAGTTGAATTCATCAATAGGTTTATCCAAATTCATTCAAGCATATTTTGACATTAACATTGATATATGAGGGAGAGCAATGTGCACCTTCCTCCCAGCCTAAACATCAACATATATCGATGAGATCCTACGGTTTAGCAGGGGGAGACAGTGGGCTCCATGGAAGATTGCTACTACTAAGAAAACTCACAAAAATCCGGTCATTTTGATGTGTTAGTAATTTGGAAACAGGAATTCCTGCATTTATTATTTATTTCTGAAATTCACTGTACTCTGGTTTTACACAACACAAACTCCAGCTGATCCAAAATGCCACATCCAGATTCTTAACCAGGTCCAACAATACAGCACACATCACACCGGTTTTAAAATCACTTCCCTGTCTCCCAGTCTGTTTTAGAATTGATTTTAAAACTCTTGTGATCACTTTTAAAGCTTGTGGGTCGGCTCCAGATTATATTGCTGAACTCCTGACCCCCCTACGAGCCTCCATGACACCTGAGATCCTCTGGTTGGTCATTACTTACTATTCCTCGGACCAGCCTTAAAACTAAAAGTGACAGAACCAAGGCTGAATAACTCAGTTTAAAACAATAGAAATGAGTTTTTACAAGATAGAAATTTGTTCTGGGACAGCTTTAAATTTTTAACGTCTTTTTGTCAGCTGATCAGGCAGATGACAGAGTGAATTCATCGCACATGCCAGGAAGTAAAGTGCCCTTTTACAAAGAAATTAGAGGTGGGAAAAAAACTGTATTTTATGTGAAAATAGAGATTCTTATCTTCTGAGATTTTAAATCTATTGACTTCCAAAAATCTATTTTTTGGGGGCTAATCATTCACTTCATGCTAACGCTAGCTCTTTAACTCAGTAGAATGCCAAATGGAGCAGCAAGAGATCCAGCAAGTCTCACAGATGACTGGAGTAGATCCTGAAGTATGTACTAATTCAAAAAATAGATGGGTCCATGAATCCAGAATTGTTTTGAATCGAAAATAGATTCTGATTCGAATTGTCACCCCAAGAATCAAAACCAATTCGAATCGTAAGACACCCAAAGATTCCCAGCCCTAAAAGATATACTTAACTTTTTATTTTCAACAAGTTGCTCTAGGTGAGAATGTATCGTTTGACATACTACTACTACAGATTCCAACTCAGAATACTAGTATTCCAGGATTGGACCCAGATAAATAATAGACACGTTCAATGTATCACACATGTCCCTGTTTCTTTCACATAGTTGTGGTGCACCTTCCATATTCCCTCTCTGGTGAAGGGAGCCTGTGAGAAGACGCTCAGTGACCTGAAACTGGACTACTTGGACCTGTACCTCATGCATTCCCCGATAGGAATGAAGGTTTGGATATCACTGTTCTGTCCTGGCTTTAAAAACAAAAAACCATCCTGCCTGTTATTTATTAACCAACAGCATCAAGGACTGTGATCAGGTTCAACCTTTTGCTGATTAAATGGCACCGCTTAAAGGCCATGCTTGTTACTGTTGCATAAATCTCTAATGTCAAGTTGTGTGTGGCAGTTTGCTAAAGTGTTTTTTACTGTTACACATATGATACGCTAATGATTCTTTTTATCTTTGCCATTTCAGCCAGGGGAGGAACTTTTCCCATTGGACGAGAACAACAAGGTCATTTCTGATGACAGCGACTTCTTGGACACTTGGGAGGTAATTTAAAGTTGTTCTGATACCAATATCAATTTTCAAAATCGATCCTGTACAGCCTCAAAAGCATTGTGTATCCAGAGCACGATAGTACATTTACCTTTCACATTAGGAAACAACCACGGTGAAGTGCTATCAGAGAACTTCATGCGGCCAAGGCTAACAAAAAGTCTACACAACAGTTTTTCTAACTCACTTCTTAGAGCTTTACCATTTACATTTTTGGTTAAAGAAAAAATAACAAAATAAAAATAGGGGGTCTTATAACAAAAAAAAAGCAGGATTTCCACAAAACGTTTTGGCTGGCATCATTTCAGGAGGGGGCTGCTAGCTGAGCTGCAGCTAACGTTTGCATAGCTTCATTTTTATCTGCTTACGTTGCTTCTAGGTTTGGATTCCTTCAATGTTCTGAGCCAGGCAATGCCACAATTATAGCAATCACAACATGTTAATACAGGGTTGGAATTGTTCAGCTGTTGAAATGATAATGTGTATATTTTTATGTAGCATTAGTATCAGAGGGAAATATAAAATAAATAAATAAATAAATATAAATACTTTATATCTGCCAATACAAAGTATGTTTATGAAAATGAACGCGTTATCGGGAAGGAAAATAAAGAGTGCACTTATAATCTACAAAGCAAAGCGAGTTGCCTGGATTTTTTATTGAACGCAGTAGGAACATATCATTTGTATGTAAACAGTATGAATCACTAACAGTGATAATGTGTTTCAAAGGCAATGGAAAAGTTGGTAGATGCTGGATTAGTTAAGGCCATCGGCGTCTCCAACTTCAACAAAGACCAGATTGAAGCCATACTCAATAAGCCAGGTCTCAAGTACAAGCCCGCCACCAACCAGGTATACAAGATTGTCATCACGACAAACTAATGTAGAAAGAGGAGAATAAAAGCTAAAGCATTTTGATTGTTTTCCCCTTCAGGTTGAATGTCATCCATACCTGACTCAAGAGAAGCTGATCAACTACTGTCACTCAAAGGGCATCTCAGTGACAGCATACAGCCCGCTGGGCTCACCTGACAGACCCTGGTAAGGGGCGAGGCCATTTTTTAAAAAGTCCAAACTCAAATCAATGAACAATATCCTGGCCTAGCTGTGCCTTTTATCCAGGTGAGACAGAATAGTGTGTAGGGCCAGTGAGATGGCATCATCTGTGGATCGGTTTGCACACTATGTCACCTTACAAGGGTCCAGAAGGGTTCCCTTGTACGTGGTTCAGTGATTCTATGTCATCATTCTATTGTGCTTATACAAAAAAGGGCTTCCTCTGATGATCCCGTCCTGCTGGAGGAACCTGCGATCAAGGCCATCGCTAAGAAATACAACAAGTCCCCAGCACAGGTAAGAGAGAAAATGACATTGACCTCATGTTTATCTTTGCCTAATCCTTCATCTTTGAAAAATAAGGCATAAAGCTATTCCAGGAATGGCCGTTAGGGAATTTGATTGCTAGTCCAGGCAGTCACACACTCGCAAGAACCTTTAAAATAGTAGTCAGTTCATAGTTATCCACTCTTATAACTTGAAAAGTCAGAAGAGGAAAAGTAAAAGGAAAACTATTTGAAAGAATGCCTTAATGCTTAGTTTGCACTCATGATTTGTTTTCAGGTTCTCATCAGGTTTCACATTCAGAGGAACGTGATCGTCATTGCTAAGTCAGTGACGCCCCATCGAATCAAGGAAAACATACAGGTATAGTAATCATTAAGCTGAACAACCTGATTGGTTTTGATGTGTAGAACACATTTTCAAGGGATGTCTAAGCTCTTACAAGCTTGAATCTGTTTTTTATCAAGGAGTTCTGACTACATGCTTTATGTTTCCATTGCTACATCAGTTATCCTTTGTAAGAATCTGATTAGTTGGGTTTCTGTCCAGAGCCCTCAAGGCAGATTGTGTGGTGTTCTTCAAGCTCTCACTTGCTGTTCTCTTCCTTTCAGTTGTTTGACTTTGAGCTGAGCGAAGACGACATGAACAGCATGTTGAGCTTGAACAGGAACTGGAGAGGATTCAGAATTGAGACGTGAGTACACAAGAAGACAACGGGGGGGAAGACAACTTTACACTTTGTATAGACAGCATTACTGAAGCTGTTTCCTTTAACATCTAAACTTAATTAATGATTGTCTCCTCTTCTGTTTCTAACAGGGCTTCGGAACACAAAGACTACCCCCTGAATACAGAATACTAACTCATCAGATAACATAACTCAGCTGCATCAATGACACTAAGCTTGTACTGTAACATTTTCATATAATGGTAATGGTACTGTCTAACTCAGCAAACAGGATGCATTTCTGTACTTTTTTTTTAACCTGTATTGAAAAGTGCTATACAAATAAAATGTTATTATAAAGCACATTGAACTGCCTCAGTTATCAACACAGTCTATGATAACTAAGGCTGAGGAAAAAAAAAAAACATAGATTCTTCACTGCATTGCAATATATTTTTCCCCATTTCAATATCGATTCAGAAAATCCTGAAATCGATTATTTCTGTTGTAATGAAGCCAATTCCAGCTGTCATTGGCTGAGAGGCGGGCACAACCTGGACTGTTCACCAGTCAATCACAGGGCTGACATATAGAGACAGACAACCAGCCACACTCACCTTCACACACCTATGAGCAATTTTAGAGTCACCTATTTACCTACGTGCATGTCTTTGGATTGTGGGAGGGAGCCGGAGTACCAGGAGAGAACACACAACTTCCACACAGAGAGACTGCTGTCGATAGGGATTTGAACCAGAAACTTTCAGCGCTAACCACTGCACCACCGTGCACCTTGAGATTGAACCATGACCTAAGTTATCAAAATCGAATTGCAAAATTCTTGCCAGCCCTTATGGTAACCATGTAGTTAAATACAGTATTGCAAAGTGCTCAACAATATACAGTAACTGTTTGATCTCACCATTTAACCTACCTTTAACACCCTAACAGGGATATTCAAAAGCTCAACTTTATTCCTCTAATTACAATTAAAACACAACGCTGTATAATAATAATAATAATAAACTTGACCTTTATACTGAAGTGTGTGCATATGTCACATTGGCCCATATGAACGCTGCTGCAGCTCCTTCTTTATTAGATTTTCTTCAAAACTCGGCTTGTTTTTGTTCACTTTAACACATTTCTGGGAGGCTTGCAAAAGACACAAAGAGATGTAATTTCCCCACAAGACTTTATTTCAGTGTTTGAAAAACAGCCCAACCAGGAAGTGAAAGGAGGAATTTTGTAAGAGTCTAAACACACATGATTTTAAAGTGTCACATGTGACTCACAAGTAACATAGGGAAGTGCTTTAAGTCATCGTTGTCGAGGCAACATGTTTTTGTAACAGAGATGATTTAGTGCTTTTTATTTTGCAGTTTTTGCAGTCAAGAGACAAATGGAAACCAGCTTACCGAGTGAAAGTGTAGGAATAGCATAAAGCTACATGAGAAGAGCTCTTATGATGTATCTTAAGGCAAATGCATGTAAAACAAGCGCTGATCAAATCTTCAGTTTGGATATATCAGAATGTACTGTACGTACTTTTGTCAGTTTTCAAGTCAAACCTCAAATAAAATGTATAAACGAAGTGATTGTGTGTTAAGAATCAACCCTGAATGATTACTCACTTCAAAAATATTGATTTATGTTTATGGCACATACTTCTGTTCTAGTACAAACCACAAACACATAATGGCCTTAGACTGGATCAGTGAGCATCTCTTATTTGATGTAAAAATCATTTTGGAGTGTTTGGAGGCAGTGTTGGTAAGTTAAACAGGTAACAGGTCATTGAAAGTCTGCTACAAGGCTACACTTCTTTTGCAAACCACTCAAAAGAAGAGCAAAGCGAGTCTTGGAGAAGTTGGAGAGGTGAACTCCTGTGGAAACTCTGCATTTTTCCACTTCAGAACTCAGCATTAAACGGGTAGTCCTTGTGCTTTGTGCTCCTGCAGTGGAAAGAAAAGAAGGACATTTCAGTGACAAACTCCTCGAACAATCTAAGAAATCAGCTGAACAATAAACTAACTCACGATTGCATGGGACAGACTCTCCAGTTCCTGTTAAATCCTAATATGGCTTTCATTTCCTCCTCAGATAGTTTAAAGTCAAACACCTGCATTGATTAAAGAAAGGAGAAGAAAAATAAAGGTTTTCATGAACGAGCAAAATAGTGTGCGTGAGTGAGGCAGGGTTGAGGGCTAAATCCTTGAAAATATGCGAACTATTTCCCAGTTCATTACCTGGAAATTCTCCTGAATGCGGTGAGGTGTGACCGACTTGGGGATCACGATCACGTTTCTCTGGACGTGGAAGCGGATCAGGACCTGGCAGAGAAAAGAGAACAACATGTGAGCATCATCAGAGGTCATTGACACAGAGTGGAATAACAGTCCGCAGTAAGCCAGTGGTATTTCAATCATCCATTGTTCGATGCCTACTATATTAGGAGAAAAAAAGAGACACGGCCGTGTTTTTATGTACACATTAAGGTTCCAGCCTGTGTGGGAGCTTTTACCTGGGCAGGTGTCTTCTTGTGCTTCTCAGCAATGGCTTTGATGTTGGGATCTTCCAGCAGTGAGGGGTCTCCAGGTTTAGCCCTGAAATTCAATTGCACCATCCAGTAGGATTTACATTAAGACACTCATACTGATATTGCATTAGTTTGCTGACAGTCAAAGGTAAACAAGATCACAGAAATGCTTCAGGAGAGGAACAACAAAACTAACTTAACCACAATCAGGCGTTGCTATGGCAACATCTATAGGTGTCGATTTATAATAAGCAGACTCAGAAGACACCATCATTGAAAAATGACAACTGAACCAAAACAGAAAAAGTGATGACTCAATGACTATCATGTCAAGCCACAGACACACGACATAGACAAAGAGGAACAGCAGTCACAAGTTGAAACTAACCCAAAAAGTTTAAGACATATATAATAATCATGTTAGGTAACACTGAATCAGCATTCAACAAAATATGACCCACTTTAGAGTACACAAAACATCCTTTCCCATGTTATGTGAAAACAACTGACCAGGGTCTGTCAGGGGAGCCCAGGGGGCTGTAAGCCGTCACCGAGATGCCCTGAGAGTGGCAGAAGTCGATCAGCTTCTCCTGGGTCAGGTATGGATGACACTCGACCTGACGGGACGAGCAAACAACACTCTTGAGATGCAGAAACCAGGATGTGTTGAACAATACATGGTGATTGTACTTCGCTCATTTAACTATCCAGATTTTGAAGTTTGTACTAAAATTACTTATTTGCTATGTATCTTGCGTTAATGTAAAAAAAAAATCTTTACGTTTTTTAGTTTGATCGCACAAAAATAAATTAAAAAATAGGCAGATAATAATTTTTAAGGAACATTTTTCAGTCGTCCTCAATAAATCAGGACCCTTTGTCTGCGTTTGGTGTGTGTGGTGACAAAGAAGTAAAGGATAATGCTGCTGTAATCGAGTAGACCAAACTAAATCGGACACTGATGAGGAACAATTGTTCTGACAAACAGCAAAAACAGAAGGTCACCTCCTCTTATTGGTCTGGCCTGAGGGGGAACTCATGTGGCCCATGTTGATTTAATAAAGACATTTATTTCTGGGATCTGATGGGAGGAGACACATAATGCTTTTAAGGCCTCTTGCCCTTCAGTAACTGCAAGTGATCTGTTTTCCTGCTGCTCAGTAGCCTCCGCTGAAAATGCTGCGTTTCAACATACACAGCAGCATCACGTATGTATGTTGAAACAGCAGCTGGCTCCAATTGTCATCGGGGAAATCTGTTTGTTGTATGAATGTGTATGAAGTATCGACTGACTGTGAGGCAACTTCACCTTGTTAAATAGAGTCTTAGTGTACCTGGTTGTTGGCAGGTTTGTATTTGAGCCCTGGCTTGTTGAGGATAGCTTCAATCTGTGCCTTGTTGAAGTTGGACACCCCGATAGCTTTGACCAAACCTGCATCCACCAGCTCCTCCATTCCCTGAAAAAATAGACAGAAAGAAAATCAAAACAAACAACAAACAAAACACCACAACTTAACCCTCATGCCATTGAAGTTAGGTCTTACATCATCATATTTTAGTTGAACTTCTCCTGTCATAATGCCTCCGCTGGTTCAAAAATAATAAACATCGACTCACCTCCCATGTCTCCAGGAGGGAAGTCTCATCACTGATTGTCTCTCCTGCGCTATCCAGAGGGAAAAGCTCACTGCCAGCCTGCAACATAACACAGTTTAAACACATTACAGTACATAACAGTGTGGAGGCTGACTACTGTGTGATCAGAAGATATCATACACATCGTCTCATGTACACACAGACAGATACCATCTCAACTGTATGCACCTTTGACACACTGCAGACAAGAAAAGGGTGTGCCCACCTTGAATCCCATGGGCCAGTGCACTAGATAGAGGTCTAGATAGTCCAGTTTAAGATCACTTAGGGTCTTCTCGCAGGCTTGTCTCACCAGGGATTTTCCATGAAAAGTGCACCACAGCTACGACAGGAAGGGGGGGGGGGAAAATAATCACTTCAAACTGCAATATGTCAAGAAATAATAACAAGGGCTCGCATGTTTTACCCTCAACTCACCTTGCTAACCATGAAAAGATCTTCTCTCTTGACCACGCCATCCTTGATCATGGCTTGGACCCCCTCTCCAACCTCTGTCTCGTTCTGGTAGATGAACGCTCCATCAATGTGCCGGTAGCCGGCCGAGATGGCGGCTTTCACGGCCTCTGTGACCTTCCCTTCGGTCGACTAACACACAGTGGTGGTTGGTTAGTGTAGTGCATAACATGGGTAACTTCCCTTCACTTTACCTCGTTATAATTACATCAATGTTGTTTTTTTTTTTCATCTCCAGTCAAAAAATGATCATCATACTTAATAGTATGTCTACAGACCGAGAAACCCCACGTACAGGCTGACACGTTTAGCATGGATTAACTTAAAACCACAATCTTTTTATCATTAGCAATAGCTCAGATTATATTTTAGCATTATTACACGACAGGGAGTTAGTGTATGTAAAATCAAATTACTTAGTAGAAGCTTATGAGTGCATACTGCCCGACAAAGGCAAAAGACCTTAACTCACCAGAGTGTAGAACTGAGAAAAATGACTTTAAAGTCTTTTTGTTATCCAGCCAAACGAGTTGCAGGCAGAATGTTGGAAATGTGGCAATGAGGTTATTAATGTTCATGAAACTCAAAAGGCATTCACTTCCATTTGATGCTGTATTTCACTTGGTTGCATTGTTAAAATAACTCAACCACACACTATTTCTTTGCTACACTTTAGTCAAGCTGCTGTGTGTGTGTCAGAAGTGCTTGATGACAGATATTAAAACAAAGACATAACGCCTTAACTCCACTGCAGTGAAACAGTAACTTCACTTTGACCCGCAGCAAAACAAAGACAAAGACCCTGATGAGTGAAGTTACTGGACTCTGCCTTGGTTTCTCGAGGGCTTTTGGAAGTTAAGGCAAATACAACCTACTATTTTCTCAAAAAAAAAAAAACACAATTGACTCAAGATATCTGTCCACATAATAAAGCACATCTGTAATGTTCAAAAATGAGAAAAACTCATTTTTGAAAAAAATTGAAGTTACTGCCTTTTTGCCTTTGTAGTGCAGAACACTGTGGCCTTTCACAATACTCTGCAGAAAATAACACTTCTTCAAATCCTGAACTTATCACATGACAGAAAATGAACTCAAGACGTACATACTGCTCGACAAAGCGAAGCATATTGGGTTACAGCTCTGACAGTCCCTCTGACAACTAGAGCAAAAAAGTTATTCTGGTTTTTGTAGTTTATTTGACGTAGCCTCCTCACTCCACGTTAGCTCGTCCACATCGGACATTAAACTAACATAACTTTGCAACGATTTGCACGAGTCCTATCTCCAGAAACCTGCGCGTCGAGGGCATAAGCCTAAGCTATTATCAAGTAATGTTAGTGCAATAAAAGGTTGAGTTTATATTGATGCCACTAGTTTCGTTTATGTAACAGTCTACGTAGGCTTTCTGCTGGCGCGCTCAGCTGACTGTGGCTTACCTAACAAGTTAACCATTAACTGGATAGGACGACGTCATGAATGGAAAATAAACTCACCTTCCACGTGCCCAGTCCCACAATGGGACATTGGGCACCGGTGTTGAGCTTCACTGTTGTTGCCATTTCTCTAAAAGACGAGCGGTTGTAAGAGTCGAGCAGAGAGCAGAACCACCGTGAAGAGAACTCGGGGATCGTCGATCGATTAATGATGCCTATTAATTCATCTGAGTCTACTGAGGCCACGCACACACACACGCGCACGCACACACACGCGCGCGCGCACACACACACACACACACACACACACACACACACACACACACACACACATTTGTCTATTTGTGGATATTAACAATATAACTGCATTGTCAAGAAAAGCATATCATTTATTCAACTCCTGCATTCAAAGTCGTACTTAAGTGAAATAATAGTGCATTTAATTGTGCTTAACTTTAGGTAGAACAGGATGGACCATGACATGACATGACATGCCTGTAACATTTTACAAAAAAAAAAAAAAAAATTGTGTTGCCTTTTCACCACTAGAGGGCAGCATTACCACACTTACCAAGCATGCGGACCCTTCTCTGCCAATCACTCATCTGAGGCTCCGGAGTAAAAAAAATAATCTTCCATACATTAGCTAATATGTCCAGTAATAATAACAGTGACTAAAATGATTGATCAGTGCTTTTTATTTAACTTAAGGCACACATCCAATCTTGAATTTAAATAAATCTGGATAATATATGGTCTTAAAACAAGCCTTGGGTATATTAATTGTCCAGCATGTGTCATATATTGTATGAAATAATGTTCTTTTTAATTACCCTCTATTATTTTTATTACTACTACCTCATGGCATTATGCACCATCCTGAATGTGCACACACACACACACACACACACACACACACACACACACACACACACACACACACACACTTACACAGACCAGCTTTAAACCCCAAGAGAAAGCTGAAAGGGGGGGAACAAATACAAGGTGTCTTTTTAGAATCAGATAAAACCTCACAGACCTTTAACTGAGCCATTCAACACTCTGAGCAGCAGATAAGAGACGGAGAATAGAAGCGATGTAAAAAAAAAAAAAAACACACAAAGGGAAAAAAAAGTTATGGGAGCTGGCAGCCACTGTGTACCTCACAATGGCTCTCGCTAAAGTTTGTGTCTCTTCTGATCTTCTCCCAGCTGGACGTCTGCTTTTCAGGCCCCTGTCTCCTCTGATCTAACTTCAGACACTGAAGGGGCCTTTGCCAGCCTGAAAATCTGTCAAAGTAGCCCAGGAATCAAACACGTCGCATGCTGTCATGATCAAAGAACCACAGGTAAACCAGACGAAGACACAGGTACATACAATGTGGTCTAAAAGAGGGGGGAAAGTTTTCATTTCAGAGGCTCTTATTCGGCATCTGCAGGCAGCTAGATACATTTCCCCGCTTGGAGTGCAACGATTAGAATAAGAGAAAAGAGAGGGAAAAAAAAAAAAAAACAGCATTTGAAGATACAAACGAGGCCACTAGTCAAACCAAAGGGCCTCTCAAGGAAACTTTCAGACAAAGAGTGTAGATCTAGAGAGAGTGCTTCTCAAAGGATTTAAAGAGCAAAGATTTCTTCAGACACTTGTTGGATGGAAAGACAGAGAACTTTTACCACTGTCCTCTCTGCTACCATGGGAAGGTGTTGTAGTCTCAGGGAACGACGGCCCGACGTTTCTGGGGCTCATCGTGTAGCCACCAGTAAGCGATAAAGGGTGTCCGGTTATGATTTCCTTTTTTTTAGTTTTCTGTGTTGTTTACAGTCTGAAGAGCAACGAGTTGAGGGACGACAACTGTTCATGGACATTCATTTAGGCTTAATCATGATGGATGACTGCCAATGGGTCCCGGTATTAAATCAAAGTTTGCATTTGTCCACTTTTGCTATTAATATGGACTGTTTTTCTGTTTCCCTTTGTACAACCAATGCCTGCTAAAATGGTGGACAATTAATCCACCAATGAGAAAGCACTTGGCAACAGTTGCAAGTGAAAACTTCCTTTTAACAGGGCGAAACCTGGAGCAGAACCAGACTTATTGGAATCAAACAGCCAATGAGAAAGTGTGATGGAAGGAGAGACAAAGAAAACAACAGTTTTCAACAAAGGATTGCCGAGCCGACAGTACAAATATGGCTAATATGGCTATACTGACCATACAATGAATTATTTTATATTATGTGAAGCAATAGCGATGGCTCTGTGCAGCTGGTAGACTCTTTCATGTCCTCCACATCAGATCAGACACTCTACCTGTAACACCTGACCTGTCCTGGGGAGATCAAACACACCCCTCCACCTCTCTCTCTCTCTCGCTCTCGCTCTCTCTCTCTCTCTTCCCTTGGACTTGGCTTTGCTTTTCCACCTTCTTCTCTGTTTCTGCCGGGGCGCCCTGGGTCATAATCTCCACCCATAAATCTAATGTCGAGTGTCAGCTCCTGCCGAGTTCACTCACACACTCGCATTCCGCTCATTCCCGCTATCGCACAACAACAAGATCAGGGAGAGAAATCTCCACACGTCATGAGTCCATCACGGCCATTTGTCAAGTGCGTATACATGTCACTGGATACGCTGGAGATTGTTGTGGCTGATTCGAGGCCTGCAGACAGCGTGGAGAATAATGCTTTGAAATTGACAATAATCCCATTAAAGTCTGGATTAGGTGGACAGTCTAGCTGACACAATTTGTCGATTACATGACAAGCAAATCACTATCAAATTAAATGTACAGCAACTTTGACAAGGAGCAAATTGTTTGAATCATTTCTTTAAGCAAATATGAGGTCAAATGGACTGCTTCATTTGAAATCATTTTCTCGGTCTTGTCCATCTGTTGGTCGAACAAAGTGCTGTTTTAAAATGTTACCTCGTGTGCTGAAGAGGGCAGGCCATGTTTTTTTTAGGATATACGGTAACATTTCACACACCTTGAGGTTTGTGATTCATGAGTCATCCTGATTCTAATTCAAGGAAAAAGATGGGGACAAAAAGAATGACCGAAACGCTCATTTTCTTATTTCTTCTTAATTAACAACCTTGCCCATGTTCAAAATTGCAGTAACAATCGGGAGACAGACTTCCACAAATTTGTGGGCTTCATTGGACAGCTTTTGGCTCAGTTGGTAGAGTTGGTCGTCTCTCAACCGGAAGGTCGAGGGTTCGATCCCCATCTCCTGCAGCAACTTGTCCGATGTGTCCTTGGGCAAGACACTTAACCCTTAGTTGCTCCTGCTGCTTCGTCAGCGGCGTATGAATGTATATGAATGGGATTAGTTACTTCTGATGATCTCACCTCTGCCATCAGTGTGAGAATGGGTAACGCCGCGCTCTGACTTTAAATGCATCAAACTAAAGACAACATTAGGACTTCAGCGTTGGTGTGTTTTTGAGTGGGCGGTCACGTAGCGATAAAAACCGTGTTAAGGCCTCTGTTATGTGAGCAGGAGAAGCTGCTGCCTCTCCCAGAAATAGTTGAGGCAATTTATCCGGTTAATGTAACGGAATGTGTGAAAGAAGTGCTACACTGAGTCTATGGAGCTCGGCATGTTTGGAGTTGTTGCTCTCCGGATTCCCTTAATGTCGGAACATTTTTGGATGACATTCACGTCTTACAGTATCTAGTATTTGTGTTTCTTTGTTCTTTCAGCTACGCCTTTTAAATGAGGAAGTCGGTAAATATGATGCGTGTAAATTCTTATTACTAGTATCTGCTTTTTTTGTTTTTCTGTTTCACTTGAACTGCATGTGACAGAGAGAAGTGTCTCAAAATAAGAGCTTAAATCATTGGTTCCCAACCTTTGTTTGCTTGTGACCCCACTTAGACTTTCAAAACTCTTTACACCCCGGACATCCAAAACACATGTAGCTTATTGCTACATGTGTGTTTTGCGACAACGATCACAATTTCAATAATGTAAACGTTTTTTTCTATTGTTTTGCAAGTAAACATTCATTTTAGAGCACATTTAGGATATTTCATTTATATTGTTGTGGCTGGGATGAGATTTATACACAAAGGGAGTATTCAATTTTTTCTCAGAGTGTGATGTGTTGGCTGGAAATGAATGCTGGACGCATGAGGTATGGATGAGAGACAGACCGAGATACTGCAAGTTTGTTCGTTTTCGGCACGTGTTGCGGCGCGCAGTAGCCCATCATAAAGCGTCGTAAAGTCTGCGAGGCGCTTTTAAAGCATGTCTTTTCTGGTTCCCTTCCTTTGATCTGTCACATGTTTCGTACAAAATGCACCATTGTTTTGTTGGGCCATCATTTTGTACAGACATTGAAGTTCCCCTGAGGGTGAATCCTCTTGACCTTACTTACTCCTTCATCTCGCAACACCATGAGGTTCACATTTGCGTTTTTTTTGGTTTAACATTTTTAACAGCGATTGGAGGGAGCGCATTGAAATTAGGGACAGACGTCCAAGTTCTTATTATCAACTCCCTTCCCTTTTCACCTGGTGACATCATCGCCTCAAGGCTTTTATTAGTCTTTTAGAATAATACTTCCAAACCACAGGTCGGATTTGAACCTGGGTCGCCCTCTTAGAGGACTATGGCCTCCGTTCATGGGGCATGCTCACTAACCACTAGGTTACTGGTGCTCCACATTGCTAGACCATAGCATTGCAAGATACTATTTTTTTGGTTCCTTCCCAATGAGTTCATTTAAATGAACATTTCAGAACATGGTCCAAACGTATGTTTATCATGGTTAAGGTTGGGGGTCAGATGTAGTGGAATTATCAAAATTTCAAATCATTTTAATAATCTAGCTACCTGGATCTTTCTGACTGGGTAAGGAACTAAAACACAACAGTATAATGATCTTCCACATACACTCACATACATACAGTGAACACTGCACACAGCGGCATTCGCCTCAGTAAAGGTGTCTCCTCTCCGGCCCCTCAGACACGCTTTGGTTTCTGGCTTGATTAAGCACTTAGTTCGCTCTCTCAGACACAAGATTGCAGGGAAAAAGCAAGTAATGAAGTGCTTTTGAATTTGCATTCCTGAGAGCTTTCACAGACGCCTTGATTTCAGCCTGCCACCCCTGTTTGTTCTTCCTCGAGAGATGTCTGCTATTTTAACGGTAACGCGTAACAAGTGTCCATCCAGCCTCCTCCATATTGCACCCTCATCAACCTAACTGCCATGAAT